AAGAAGTCCTAGCCGCTGCCAAATGTACCCGCACGCAAACCGAAACTTTGCAAAACCTTTTTTTTTCGAGATTGCTTGTTTCCGGGTTTATGTTTACTACTTATTTCCAGTTTACTTATTACATGCCCGCGTTCTTTCGAAAGCCACTCGAACTACTGATTCTTCTCTGTAGATGCTTCCTGCTGGAAATGCAGTAACAATCCAAGATGAAAAGTGAAAACTACCTAAAGTCTTACTGGAATAAATGTGAATCTATAAAAACTAGCCTGTTGCTGACTTTGCTGCGGTGGCTGTACTTGTTGTGGCTTCGACGCCGAAGCACTCTTATCATCATTTTCATCAGAGAGGAACTCACGTTTGGGATATGGAATATCGCAACCACTGAAGACATCGGCGGTTGGTCGTGGATCTTCCTGGAAAAAAGTGGTTTTTTTTTAAAAATGAATTTTTGTGACGAATATTGCCGATACTATTTGTGGTATCGCTCTGTGACCCCCGTTTCAGAAGTACTGTAGATTAGTGTAGTAATCTTTACTAGTATTTTGCACACAATACCTTGAAATATGGATCATCCATAGCATCTTGTGCGGTAACTCGCTTGATTGGGTCCATTGTGAGAAGACGTTGCAGCAATGAAAATGAACGAGTATCAGCTTTGATTTTATGCTTATCCATATATCTTTGGAGAGTGCAATTTGCATAGCTGAAAATTCAACATAATTGGATACAGATATGGATATATTTTTCACAGATAGCATTCGAAAAGTGCTGAAGCTGAAAAGTATAAACCGAGAAATGCAATTCAGAATAAAGAAGCCAGATATAAATGACAACAACGGAGATCCAGTATTGCAGTCAATGAGTTCTACCACTTGCAGAAGTTAATGCTTATGAATGACCAAACTAATTTTAAAAAACTGTGTGGACTAATCGCATTTCAGACCATTTTAAACTTTTCTGAAATGTTTGGGAGTTCCCGATAACAGCAAATGCCAACAAATGTTAATTTTGAAATGGTAGTTTTAAATGCTCCCTCTTCTTTGAATGCTCATTTCTTCCCTCTTCTGAGGGAGCAAATGGTAATTTTGACTCCTTGGCATATGTCAGAATCAATTTATCATCGAAATGAATGAACGATTTGTAGAGAATTGTTTGCTTGACTGGTGCAGCTGAACACTTGATTTTTTCGCATGGCAGCAATGGTATTCCCACTATACCATGCCCTTCAGTTGAAAAAGATAGAAATATGAAATCCAGCAGTAGATATTAATTTTAAGATATTATGAAAATTACAATA